TGTGAGTTGGAGGTCTCACCCTCAGAGACAGTCCAGAAGAATAGTTTTGACTAGACTAGTTTAAACTAACAATGAGACTGCCAAAGGTGGGGAAATTAATCCCATCTACAGTGTGCACAGCAAAGCCAAAGAAATATTTATGCATCATTGGCTTGCTGTTATCCTGAATCTAGTTTTCCAGCTGATGTAAGTCCAGATGATGTAAATCATCACAACTCGATGGACGTAAGCTAGCCAAAAGAATGGCCAAAAGTTTCTGTGCTAATACCGGTTGTTTTTCTAGGTTGGCAGAGGTTTTAGGAATTGGTTTGCAGTGTTATTTAAATTAAAAAGGGGAATGGCTCATTGCTAGTTAGATTTCTATTAAAAAAATCTCTGACCTAGAAGGTGCTATAACCTTTTACAGGTAGAAATAAATGTGTTGAGAAGAACAGTTGAAAATGCCAGCTCCTTCCAGCCTTAAATATCTCTATGAATGCAACATTACTGGTTAAACACAAATATCTATCCTGTGTAGAGCAACCACTCCAAATGAAAATGTGTTCTCTGTATCAGAGAGCTCTGTTAAAGAATATGTTAACCAAAGGCCAGGTCTCTGTATTCATAATGAAGCTGATGATAGCAAAAATTTCATCAATTAAATGGAGAAAGCAGAGTAAGATCAAATGGCTGGGGTTGGGAGTGATTTAGGGGGTGGTGGGGAAAGGCTGCAGCCATGTCTTTCTCCATTTCTCAGCTTCTTAGTGGTATTATTTGTATTATTTGAAGTTTTCTGGGTATTTATTAAATTGGGGTTGAGCTTGGAAGAAAGACAAAGGAAGTTGTGAGGCTGACACAGAAATGTGGGAATAGAGGGGTCAATGAAGAAGAAACAGTAAGGCGTCTGATAGTGAAATAATATTTTGAACCTTCTCACCTTTCGTGGTTGGAGATACTAAAGTGTTCTGTAAAGTCTCTGTGTGTGGCCTGGATGGAGAAGGCAGTAGGTGATCAGCATGTTGTGTACCTGCAGCAAAGAGCAGATTTTTCTACAGGTTACTGGGCAACTCTTTATTCGTACACGTCTAAACTGACCTCTTTATCCAATGCTGTGATATTATTTTCATGTATTAATAGATTTCTAAGGTCAGTGGGGAATATGATGAACATCTCTGAACTCTTGCAACAGCCAAAAGATTCAACCCTGTAACTCCTGCCAATAGTCTCTGATTTAGCAACAGCCTCTTTGAGAAAGTTGTTGGCTTATTCCAATGACTGATGTTAGGAAAAAGTTCCTTTGAGTAGACAAAATCTTATCTATCATGTTCTGGTGTTTATCCAGGGCTTAATGTTGTGAGGGGATGATCAGTGCAGCTGGTAAAAAGCATCTGAGTTCTTCACCAACTGTTGTATATTCAGTCAGCATTCATCAGGCTGGAGCTCCAGTCTGTTGAATCTCTCCCCCTAGCCTCAGTATTAGCCAACTCACTGTACTGCCCAGAAACGTATTGAGTCCCTGACATATATGTGTTTTAAGGAGGCAAGGATAAAATTCCCAGTATAAAGGGAAAAATAATACACCAAATGTTGTGGATACAGGGTGTGCTGTGCAGAGAGGCATTAGAAGCTGAAGTCCTTTGCACTATTTTTGTGTGGTTTGATTTTCCTTACTGCTGCACCAAATACTGGTGCACCAGTAGCACAAGGAGGGCAATTCCTAGTGGCATTACAGCTCCATACATCAAGCTGTCTAAGTACCTGGAGACAGATGCTTACTGTTTATTAAGCAGCACTATGAAGTGATATGATTCAGAGCAGCAATGTTCTGGTGTAGAGGATGGAGGGAGCTCTGACATGTTTTCTTTTAATTTATTTGGTAGCAGGGGAACCTGGTAAAAACCAATTTATGAATTCTGTAGGTATCCAATCTGTTTTTGTCATCTGGACAACTAAAACACATTAATACAGAATAACGCTATTCTGACAGTGAATTATACTTCCTTTACCATTAGTCTGAGCAGTTGTGGAGCCCAAGAGCTTTACTGACACAAGAGAGTTATACAGGTTCCCCCAGAGTAGTGCGGTCATCCACTGTTACCACAAGGCATGTGATTTTTCTTTTTTCCCTTTGGTTCAGTATATGCTACAATTTTTTAGTTGAAAGGGACTAGAAAAGGGTAAAGGACAGGAGAAGCACAGTCCTTGTCTTTAGATGGATTTCAACATGTTCTGGGAGCATGAGGTAGAAACTTTCAGCAGGGCTAAGACTCCACATGTGTCTTGTAGGAACTGTTAACTTCTTTTCCATGTCCCTTTAAGTATTTTGAGGACCTGTTGGTTTTACCTGTTGGTTTGAGAAATATTCACCTCTCTTAAATTCTTGGACCTTTTATGGTCCCTTTATGATAGTATTTTAGTTCATCACTGTCTTCATTTCATACATGCAGGTCTCAGTCAAAGAGAAGGAGATAACTAGCGTGGTCTCTTAGGAAACCTCATACAGCAAGGTGCTGGATCTGTCTAAGTGCCCTAACAAAAGGAGCTCCCTCCAATTTCTGTTCACCCCATGTTCAATAAGATAATGGGAACCACACAATTTGTTCAGTTTCTTTCTCCTCCAAGAAATACTAAGCCAAAGAGGAAAAAGTATTGTCCCAATGGATCTGAGAAACAGATTCCTGCTAAGCAGAAGAAATAGCCACAACAACAAAAAGCTGATTTCTGAGGCGCTTCAGTGCTCCAACTAGTATTTCACATTGATTGTACGCCAAGTCATTATTTAGGCAAACTAGATAATCTGCATTGTGACTTCAAATGGGAAAATCACTGAGGCACCTGCTCTGTGTTTGTCTGATGGAACAGAAAACTTGATATGAACAAAAGAAAAGAGATCTTGGCCCCAGATACTGGCCATCCCTGGAGCATGTGTTTGAGCAGTGACACCAGGAGAAGAGCCACCACAACATGCTCTGTGGGCTGTGCAAAAGGGAAGGGTTTAATCAGGTTTTTCTGCCTTCTCCAACAGATGTGATGACAGCCCGTAAGCGTGTGGCTCTCATTCACAGGAGTTATTTGCCCCCAGTTTTAATGTGATTTTCAGGCAGCTTCCTAGCCCCCGTATCTCTCATTTCTTAAATACATGTGTTTCCTCTAGAGAAAAGGGTAATAATAATCCTTTGAAACGGAAAATGGATGGAATTCAGCCCAGTCAAAACCAGTTAAATCCTTCAGATTTGAGGTTTATGGACTTCATTTAAATGATCTTCTAATGAACATGAGCAGAAACACAGAGCAGTATTGGTCACAGGGAATTCACTGACCTTCATGCATGTTTATTTTTTCTCTCTTCTCACATTATCTGACCAAAGTGGGTTTTTACTTGTTTTTTTATTACTTTTTTTAAAAATCAAAGACATTATTGACTTCTTACTGCTCTGTGGAGAGAGATTGAATAATCAAAGCTGCCTCTATCTACAACATATACAATTATTCAAGTTACCATTGCAGATGCTAGGGAAGTGTGGACAAGAAGTGCCTCACAGAGTCTAGAAACCTCACCCACAGTAGCAGAGTCTTTTGTGCTTTGAGGCCTCATGAGAGCTAAGGCTTGTCTTTGGTGTGTCTTCAGGTTGTAAAGGTGGGTTATTTGAAAGTTAAAGCTTAAATGTGTACCCACAGAGTGAAAAAGTTGCCGCCTACTTTCCTTACTGGATCCTGACAGCTGTAGAGGCTTCACTTTCTTGAGGGCTCACTGGGTAATCTGATGTGTTCCGCAGCTCAAAAGAGCATCAAGATAAAAGTGGTCTTAACCATTTCACAGATAGGGAATGAATAGGAGCAAAAAAGCATTGTGTAGACATGATGTGCCTCCGGTAAACTGTCAACAAAACTGATTTTAAACGTTCACTTTTCAGAAGATAATGCAACTTTATAATGGAAAGGAAAGTCTTTATGATTGATGCACTAAAGTAGGGCTCAGGAGACAAGCTAAAAACCTAATTGCTTCTGCAGCTTTTATGAGTGTGATTCATCTGCTATAACTTTGCCTACCTGTAAGTTAAGTGTTTAATCTACACTGGTTATTCAAGGCCCTTCTATGAGAGAGACACACATTTCTGGTTTATCCAAGCTATCCTAAATTATAGCTCTTTCTAAGGTGCTTTATTACTTTCCTATGACAAGAGAGTGAGTCTTTTTCTTTTCTTAAGCATGTAGTTTAGATAGATTCATCTCATCCACCTTTATCATTCCTTGGCATTGTAGCAGCAAGGACCTTTGCTCCTCCTGAGTCTCTGCTGAGCTTTTGGGGATGCATATAGCATCTATCATTTATGGGGTGCATATACATGTCTAGTTGTGTACAAAGGCCAGGCTAAAAGCCTGCACTAAAATGGATAGCAGTTACATTTTGTATTTGGCTGGTCATTCTTCTTTTCTTAAACTTCAAGGCTTTAAATGATGTTCATACAGCATCCTAGAGCAGAGTCATAACAGTATAGTGTCTGACTTAGAATAATTAAAATTTCTCTTAGAACACTTGGTGTCCAAACGAGAAAGCTGTTCTAGGACAAAATTACTAATTCTATTTTAGAATATAGAATATATTACATGTACATATTCCATATTTATAGAATTATTAATTCTTTTTTTTTCAACAATGAAGTTTAAAATGTGACAAAATCTCAATAGCCTGGTTAGCTGATCAGCCTGGGGTGCTGGGTTGATTGACAAACTTTCTCAAAAGTGACTGATCTCATACTTACTGTTCCTGTATTATGTTTGCAAATAATAGCACAATGTTAAATTTTGTGATCCAGCCTTTGCAGCTAAAGGCTCATCAACACTTTCCATGAACAATCATACTATTAATTATCTTGGACAAGGTTGGTCTATTGGTCTCATTTTCTTTTTCTTGCAAATAACCCTGTTGTGCTCAGCATTATTGTAAGCTGTTTTGTGATCAACTAAAATAAGCAAAATATGGCCTTAATTTTGCCTTTGTTCATTTTTTTTCCTTTCAGTGGCTGCATCAACTGCTAATTCCACAGCTGGTGCGGCCATGAATTCTTTGACTTCTCTGGGTACTCTCCAAGGATTGGCTGGAGCCACTGTTGGACTGAATAATATTAATGCACTAGCAGGTACCGTAAACAGTGAGTATTTACTGCTGTGGTGGACAGCCTTTCCCAATAATCATTCCACAAAAACTATCAATTGTAAAGTGATTATTTTTTAATCTATACACAAAATAAGGCGGTCAAGTTGATCTAGTTCCATTCGTGGTACACATGCAGTTCTGGAGCCTTTTAGTTTCACACAGTTTGCTCTGCAAAGTGAAGTCCCTTGGGTCCCTGCACAAAGACTCCTTTTCTTGCAGGGCGTGTGGAAGGTAAAAGAAATGTCACCAGGGGTTTGGGTTATCTGGGTTATAGGAGAGGCTCCTTTTTCATTTAGGGAGTCTTACAACGGGTATGTCACCCAATGTACAAAACCTCACTCGGAAATGTAGTGATAAGAGAGATGTTTGCCATGGAGGCAGTCCTTTTAAAATGTTTGTAGGAACTATCAAGTTGACTTGAGAGCAACATACTTTTATAATGAAGGCAAGTCTTTGACTTTTAATTGGCAAGTATAAGAGAACGATGCAGTCAGTCACCTGCAATCCCAGAGCATGCACATCAGCCCTATGACATCCTAAACAAACCCTGGCATCTCCAGCTAAGTAGATGCCAGTAGTTGTTAGAACATTCTTCTTTGTTCTCAGCTGTGGTCAAGATTTTCCTGAAGAAGAAGGATTTTTTTGTATTTATTGTTTCTGCTATGATGACTTCACCTTTGCCTGCAATGGAAGAGATTTGTCCAGCTGCATTTTCCCCCTCTCGTTTTTTTTAGCTGCTGTTGCTCCTTGCATTTCCTTTTGCAATGCAAGGAATCTATCCAGTCCATGACCCATCATAATGTACACCTAGGAATGGATGTCCTCCTCAGTATCTCTTGCTCACTCTGATGCTCTGCATGATGTCCTTTTTGTCACTGTTACGTGGCTGCTCACCCAATCTTTTTGTTCTGTGATCTCTGGTTGTCATTGTTGGGAGCTGGGAAGGAAGGGGGCTTATGGATGTCCATGTAGCAATGTTGAGTGGTGCATGGGGTCTTGTGTAAAACAGGTCTTGCTTCTGGCAAGGACACGCGTATTTCACACAAACAACCTCACAGTAAATATGACTCAAGCAAATGTCAGAAAAGTGAGTATTAGGTCCCCAAAATGGAAGATGATAGTTTCCTTTCTTACTGTAACATTAGTATTGAAGCAAGCCACTGAAAATGGCATGCATAAAAAGCTAATTTATCTTCTTTTTTAAGCTCTCATAATAAGAGAGCTACCCTGTCATAAGTAAGAAATCGTTAAATGTCCTTTCCTGATAAACAGTCATCTTGCTTTACTTGGTTTGTAGAAAGTCACAATACTAAAAGCAGAATATGGTATCCCACTCCTTCCCTTCTGCAAGTGCTAAGAACCCAGGCACACTGGAGCACTCCAAGATAATGTCCCCTTCATCAAAACCGATCAAGAGTGAATCACCTATGAGCTCTTGACTTTGTGTGGGAACTTTTCTGTTGCACTTCTTTTAACACATCTTGGTAGGCTACAAGCAAAGACTTTATGTTCTCTCAGCAAGTATTTTGAGGTGGTGTGTGTGCAAACTTTCTGCGTGTGTCATTTGAAGTATTAATGATGTATTCAGAACCTAGTACCAAATTTCAGCTTGTTTTAAGCCACCATTACTTCCATGGACATGTACCAATAGTGGCTTCAGTCCCAAATCTTATTCATGGATGTTTTTATGGACACACAGAGTGTATGTGCTTGGAATATCTGTATGTGTATAGCAGTGACAAAATGTACGTGGATATGTCTGTCTTATGTATATATATATATATATATAACAGAGATCTAAAGAGGGGAAACTGCTTCCCCACAACACAATACAGTGTTGTGGCACTGTTTCTCCCAAAAGGGTGACACTGGTTATCAGTTTCAGGTACTTGTGATGCTAATGGTAGCAAAGCATTGCTCATATTACAACAACCTTCCTATTTTAATGACGAGCCAGTGCTTTTCCTAGTGACCATATCTGATCCAGTCATTCACACTCAAACCTGCTTAGGAGTTTGCCTTCAGGAAACCTCACGTTCAATAAGTCTGATGTTTCACACTATGCCATGGTCATAAGCTCTGCAGTAAAAACATTCATTGGTTGTGGAGGTTCCTGAATTAACTGTGTGCAGAAGTTGAACTTGAGCGACATGCTTCTAATTTAGGAATTGAATTCACAAGAGAGATCCAAAGCACAAGTCAAGTGGAGCTTAACCCAAAAATTAATCAGAAGATGGCACTGGGCTTGGGCTTTGATTTACACAGAGGTGTTAGATGTTGAACGAGCATCTGTTGAAGCCATGTCCTGCTCTGTATGTGGGAATCACAAAAAGAACGTCTTCCAGGCTGAGCTCACTAAGAGAGTTCTGTCTGTTTTCTGGATCCTGGTTGGGTCCACACAAAAGAACTGGGCTGTGGAGACTGATAGTGCTCTTATTGTGGAGAAAAGCATTGTAGAGACATGTCTGGAGGCCTTAAAAATTAAAGAAAGTGGAGTATGCTAAGTTTATCTGTCTGCAGGGGGTTGGCAACAGTTGTACATACATGTGGGGATTCACCCAGTCTTCCCTAAGTTGTGCTTGGAAGCATCTAAAACCTTAAATGACAAAACATTAGACTGTCTCCTTTGGGCATGTAAATTTAAATAATGTAACTAGCAAAAAGAATTATGAATAATAAGGAAAAATTAATAAAGAGGGAGGAAGAGATTCATTGCCGTTAAGAAAGAAGACCATGGATTCAGGATGCTAGACAGCTATGGCACAATATTTGTGTGTGAACCCAGGGCAGTCACTTAGCCTTTCTGCCCCCATATTTACATCTGTAAAATGGAGATAAAACTATTCATGACAGATTTGAAGGTGCTTGGAAAAGCACTTTGAGAGCTCTTTGGACTTGCCAGGCAATGTCACTTCTGTATTATGTAGAGTAACTCAAAAAAAGTAGAAGGCCATAGATGAGAGAGACCAAAAGGTTATTTCACAGAAGTGAGGAAGGAACCAGAGTTCAATATCAGACTGAGGTGCATTGGAAGAGATAACAAAGAGATGGCAGAGATGTGTAACTGCAGCTGGACCTTGCAGATTTCATAATAATGTAAAAAGGGAGAATAGAAAACATGTGGAGAGCTTTCTGCAGCTCTGTTTTGCTCAGGAGGCGAGTGTGTTTAGACACGGACACTGCAGCAGCAGTTGCTGTGCCCTTCCCAGAAGCAGTGAGCTGGGGCTGTCTGGCTTTTTGCTTATCTGAATTGATTTGGTGGGAAGGGGCTATTGATTCTAGGTGAAAGAAGGGGGAGGATGCTGCCCACTGCAATACAAAGCATGTTTATCTAGTAGGCTGATGACTCATGGAAGATAGCATGTTATCCTAATGCTTCCTCTATTATCAAGTTATTTCAACACTATAATAAAAGGACAGATACAAGCAGCTTTATCAGGAGCCTTTAACCAGCACTGTGTGTACACCCATGCAAGCAGTGACACAAACCTAAGTACAGAAACACCAGAGCAGGTTAAGGTCAGGCTCAGGATAAAAAATCATTGGTTTTTATTTAGTAGCAGTAGTAGTATTGTTATTACTGTTGTTATTGTTGTTATTATTATTATTAATCTTCATTTTCCAAATGTCCTGTCATTTAGAGATAAGATGCTTCACAAGCTATCTTGGTTTGCAAGTTTTTGTTTTATAACTGGAACCATTATACACCAAATATGTGGCTCTCATGCTCTGGCAGAGGTTTTTGTTCAAAGCAGTGGCAGCCAGTGCCTCCTATCAGGATGCAGCGATGCTCTGAAGTGGGGTGGAGGGGAAAGAGAAATCTTCAAAGTGCGAGACATTTTATTAAGGAAAGGCTAAGAATATCACATCTCTGTCAAGTGTTTAGTCACACAAATTATAGTATTATCAAAAGGTATAATTTATGCAGTACAGTTCTCTTAATTGGCACAGACTCTGGTGGAGCCAGAAAGGTGCCACTTGAGCAATTGTCCTGATTATCGAAGACTCATAGGAATACACTTTTCAAATCTACATAAGAGATGGAAGAAAACCAGTAGGTCAGCATCTTTATCCTCCTCTGTCAATGCAGGATAATTCCCTGCAGTACTCTTTCTATCTCCAAATTACTCATGTGATAAGGTTTCCTTGAAGATTGTTGCCAGTCTAATAGATTTCATTGTTAATTCACTATAAAGTATGCTCTGGTTAATTTCCTCACTTTTCTCCAATTTACATATCACCCCTTATTTGCTTTGAAATTAAGCCCTCTCTTTCTCTTCCATATTCTTAGCTTTTGGGTCTTAATATGGCTCCACCAGTCACGTCCATCCATCATTTTGCCAACTGAAACACTGCACAGTTAATGGTCGCTAATGGTTCTGGGTGCCCCATTTCTCTGGTGACTGTACCTCAAGGGGCCTGGTTAAGCCCTTTTGTTTATGGGGTGTTCATCTAAAAACTGGGGAGCACAGGATAGCTAGTTGTACAGAAAACATGGCCCGACTCTCCATCCTGATTGGCTCTTAGTGCTCCAGTTGACCCAAGTTGGAGTTGTGGGTGATGAGATGGGCTCTGAACTCTGCCACCCCTTTATCTGCAAAGAGACTGCAGCTCTAACAGAAATGTCACTTTTTTTTTAGATTTCTGAAAATAAAATATAAAAAAAAAAAAAGGTGTTAGAACTGTTAACTTCAACGTGGCTCATTTAGGAGCCAAAATGAGGAATAGAAGAAATGGAGAGATGTCGTAGCCCAGGAGTTTGTCCACCTGTGAGTCAGAGTAGTAAAACTTCTTTTGCAGACCACACTGTTTGCAAGGATGAAGGATGCCATTTTCCTCACAGCTAGCAATCCAGTGTGAAATTTCCTCTTTGGCAGTCATCCCAGTTAAATTAACCTGATATTTATCACGATGTAGAATTGCTTTAAAGAAAAAAAGTGAAGGGACTCTGCTTCCAGTGAGAAGACATTGCTGGAACCAAATGCCTGCAACAGGCTGCCCAAGGAAGTTGTGAATGCTCCATCCCTGGCAGTGTTCAAGGCCAGGTTGGACAGAGCCTTGGGTGACATGGTTTAGTGCGAGGTGTCCCTGCCCATGGCAGGGGGGTAGGAACTAGATGATCTTAAGGTCCTTTCCAACCCAAACTATTCTATATTCTATGATTCTATGATTCATGAAAGATTCCTGGTCTGGATGAAGGACTTCAGTCACTCTGGGTGTGCTGCTGTTCATCTCTTCTGGAGTAACTGGAGGAGGAGGAGGGTGGAAGCGCAGAGCATGACAGTCCATCTTCCTGTCACAAACCTAAGGGATGAAGCCCATAATTGTACAGAGAGCTGTTTCAAAATGGTGTTTATTGAGGTTCTCTGCTAGCTCTATTTAAGCAAAACACTTCTGATATGGTGTGGTCATGGCCCATTGCTAAGGACCCTGGTCAGAAAGAGTGGCTTTCCTTGCAGACTGCTTTTTCCCAGTGGCCAGCTTGCAAGGATACAGGTCAAAGAGGTCCCACTCTCCCAACTTCAGAGACCCTCCAGAGATGTCGAGGAGGGGAGAGGCTTTCAGGAGCACCGAGCTGTAGTACTTGCCAGTAGCAGGCTGCATGTGAGTCCATTTGACTGTGCAACCGTTGTGCTAAAAGTGATCCTGGCGCCAAAGTCGTGTTTTTCCTTGTTTTCAGTCCCATTTGGTGACGTGCGGAGCTGCATGCACTGCTGTCGTTGTCAGTGTCATATAATACCAACGACTTTCGGAAAGCACTAATGAACAAGTGCAATTTCTTTTCTCTATTGTTGGGTTTTTTGTAAAGTTGCTCAAATGCTCTCAGGTATGGCGGCCCTGAACGGAGGACTCGGCGCAACAGGCTTGACGAACGGTACGGCCGGCACGATGGACGCGCTCACCCAGGCTTACTCAGGAATCCAGCAGTACGCGGCTGCCGCGCTGCCCACCTTGTACAGCCAGAGCTTGTTGCAGCAGCAAAGTGCTGCGGGCAGCCAGAAGGAAGGTAAGTGCCCGCTGGTGGCAGAGCGAGCTCCATACGGCCAAGAGATAGCGGTGTCATAGGTTCATTTTTTCACGGAGGCTTAACAAATGACCTCGGGTAGCTTTAACCGTTGGGTTTTATTTCAGTTCTCTGCTGTTTAGGTTTGTTACCTTCTTTAACGTAGAATTAATATTATAACCATCTGTCCTTGAAGTTATACTTCACTGACTGTTCTTTCTTCTATAAAGGCATTTACCAACTACCGTGTAAAAGCGCGCTGCTAACAAAAATCATCCCTTTATGGGTGCCGTTCTCTCTTCTGGTTTCCATTTTCCGTGATAATGGAGTTAATCTGATTAGGTTTAAGGTTTTGAGTTAATGACAAGATCCATTTTCACTTTGAGTGGTTCTTTGCTTAATTGCGGGTCTTGTGGGGAAGCAACTAAGTGAATGATTGCCCCTTCTCCCTGAGCCAACAACAAATAAAGCTTAGGAAGTTACTGCTAAGAATAAATGAATACTAATTACAAGATGTTTAGGAAAATGAGGTTACCCTTTTCCCCTCTTCCGTTCCCCTGCACACTTCCCAGGCATTCGGGGGGTTGGTTTGTTTTCATTGCTTTCTCTCATCCTAATTTCCAGCTAATTCTAGAAGGACAGTTTTCTGATATTGTATCTGTATAGTCACTACTGTTCCTGCCAGGACTAAGCTCTGGAAAGAAACTTAGTGTAATATCCTCAAGAGATTTTTTTTATCCTCTTTTAAAATAGTATCTTGTCCTGTTACGGGATGCGTTTCCTAGGAAGACAAATTTGGCATTCCAACAGCTGGCTGTTGTGTAGGGCCACTGAAGTTAAAATGTATATTTTCTCTGAATTCTTCATTTCTTTTACTACAAACAGCTTGTATTATTTAAAATGAAAGGATATTTTTTTAATCAACTTTTTTCCTTATTGTTTGGTGTTCTTTGCAGTTATCTGTCATCTCACTCACTTTGTTGAGACTGATACTGGAATGAAATTGTTTATTTGGTGTCATTATAAGATACATAGTGGAGGACAGTTTGAGTTTTTCCTATCTTTTTTTTTTTCCTGTTTATGAATGTTCATATCAAGTGTAGGCCGACTTTTTGCCATTATGATTTGGCAGCATCCCTTTTAAAATGCAGCCTTTTTTGTTCTATATCTTGTATCTGTTAGTAAGGGGTTAAGGTAAAATGAGTAAATTCCATCACTGAGTACTGACAACTATGTTTTGTCTCTTGGTATGATTTCTGATGGAATGACAAAGAGTCTGGAGTGGTTGATGATAAACAAGTACCAGAGAAAAATGCCATATAAATATTAAATGCTGAAGCACAGTGAACTGCCACATGCATATGTTCTAAAATGCTATTTAAAAAGTTTTCTATTAGTATTTTGAGAATATTATTTTCTGGGAAAGATGGTTTACTTGTGGTAAGAAGAAATAAGTGCAATTATTTTTTTCCTCTTATTTTTTCACCCCCCAAAAAAAGATTTTCTCTTTAAAAACTTTCTTTTCCCCCCTAATTGCCTCCTTTGGGGCAAACATTGCAACCTTTTCCTTCAGGCTGAGAGAAAGCATCCAGCCTGATTCTTCTGCATGGGAGAGGTGAAGCCTCGTGATTGTTCTGGAACTTACTCCATAAATCTGATGCGTGCTTTCCTCTTCCTCTCCAGAAAACCAAGGACTTCACATCTGAGACACACTTAGGTTCCATTAAGCAAAGGAATTCTTGAACAGGCTACACTAGATGAGTTTTTACCAGAAATGTTTGTTCCCTTTGTGTACCACGTATTCTCCTGATGTCTGTGTGGGAAGGCCACATGTCTGGCTCCGTCTTACATCCTGTTCTTCCAGGCATCCATTGCTCCTTTCCAATATGTTACTGTAGCAGAGAAAATGAGCTAGGGAAAAAAATAACCTATTAGTGCTAGGATGAGTGTTTAAACAAGTAGCTCTAATAGTGCATATCCCCAATTTTAGCTGAAAGAAACGTATTCAGAGCACCTTAGAGTTTGCATCTTTCTTTGCAAACTCAACTTTGTCTAAAGCCATTTTAATTTCAACCCAACTACTTTACTTTGAACCTTCTTTAAAAAACTTACTTCACAAAGTTTATTCCAGGAGACAGCTTTCTATGGAGAAGTTGTATTAAAAAAAAAAGAAAAGGCTGTTATTTTGCAATGAGTCAGTACGAATTTAATTCTGAGTATCTTTCTGACATCACTGATTTCCAAGTCACAAGATTTGCTTTGTCTTATCATTTTTATTCCCATCTCCACCAATTTCCTGCCCTTTGAGTTTAAATCTGTGATACTCAAATCTGCTCATCTCATTTCATTTCCATAAGTTCCTGCAACTAGAATTAAACTGACAAACCCATGCAGGTGTTTGAGGCAGCAGAGGACTCCTTGTGCAGTTCTCGGGGTACTGTGAGAGAGTAATGTATTGTGTACCTGTGTTCCTAACCCTAATTATACTGAAAGACACTCGTATAAATTGAAGAAAGAGGCTGTGGTTTAACTTCTTCTGTACTAGAGCTATCAAGTAAACACTTTTCAAGATAGGATGCTCTAAAGAGCTGCATTTCAGCTCTGTTCCTTTGATGATCCACTTGCTTTTGTTCCTTCAAAGTTGGAAAGTGAAATGCTTTCTGACCATCACCTTCAGTAAGTATTATGGAAAAACAGATTAAATATAGCACTTGTAATAGCTGTTTTCACACTTCCTTTTTTTTTTTTTACCCCTAAAGGTCCAGAAGGGGCAAACCTCTTTATTTACCACCTCCCCCAGGAGTTTGGAGACCAGGACATTCTGCAGATGTTCATGCCTTTTGGAAATGTTATCTCTGCTAAAGTCTTCATTGACAAACAGACCAATCTGAGCAAGTGCTTTGGTATGTCAAATTTAATAAATCAAATAGTAAAAACCACAGGCAGTGTACTGAAAAAGGGCCAGGAAAGAAAATTAACAGCAATGTGAGAAATGTCATACTGGAAACTCATTCCAAAAATAATGGACTGTTAATCCTCAAATGAGCAGGAAGATGCACAGACAAACTACTCCTAACTAAAAATTGGATATGAAAAAACAATGATAATCTTCCAGTCTGACATCTCGCATGAATGTGTCAAGTACATGAAACTAATTGCACCCTATGTGGGGGAATGTCATTTAGTATACTATTAAACTGCCTTATTATGGATACCTAATTATTCTCTATTGTATAGCTGAGCCACTTAAAAATGCTCTATGTTTAACCCATTACTTCTACATTACAGGAATTTCTTTCTCCTGAATTAAGTACAAGATTTTGCAATTAGTGGTTGAATGGTGTGTACATGCAGTTCAGAACACTTATAGACAGTTGGTGTCTAGCTCCAGCTGTTGCAGGTGGGCTCCAGTGTATTATGGAAGGTAGCATCTCCCCTTACCTTAGGTCAGGGCTGAGGGGAGCCTCACAAGATCAGTGTTAGGTTTCCCAGAGAACACTTCGAGCTGCCAGAAAAGGGAAGGTGATATGTTGGTATAAAACAGGTTCCAGAGTTGATTAAGTGGGCTGATGTCTTCTGAATAGCCTAGGTGCACCAGTTCAGTGCTTTGATGAGTGGAGTACGGAATCTAAGTGAATGGCAATCTGTTAGAGCATTGGTCTAATAATTGTGGTCTTATGCAAGACATGAAGAGGATGTGGGAAGACGAAAGAATCTCTTAAAGATAAGTTTGATAAGGTTCGACCTAAACCACCAGAGCTTCTGTGACAGTGACAGTACTTTCCCAGAATAAAGGAGCACAACTGTACATGACAAACAAGTAGCCAGTCCAGACAAACCCCTAGTTTCCAAAACTCCTTTCTACCAACAGTGTTGCTCTTAGCCCAGCACCATCCCTTAATTCTGAAGAGTCCCCATTTGAAGTGTCCCCATGAACCGTAATACATATTTCTTAGCTTTTTTAAATCTAAGTTTTGTTAAAGCGTGTCTGTGTGAGGATTTGTCCCCACCAGGGCCATTCAGGGGCCTCACAGCTACTGGGCTTTAACCCGTCTTGAAAGGGTTTGATTTTATCTAAATAGTCGCTGCCAAAACACAGGGGGAATTCATCAAGTTACTCAGAAATACCTACTTGAGCCAAAATTCAAGCCTTGCCACAATCTGAGTGTTTTTCACCCAAAGACAAGCCCTGAGTACACTTGGAAAGTGAATTTGGTTCAGAGAAGGGATGTAACATTTGTTCTGCATTTTTCCATAGTCTTTCAGTTTGTTTTTTAAGCATTCACCTCTTTAAGCTTTACAAAAAATTGTTCATGTCTAGACTAATACAGTCCAGCATGTTTCTGCAGTGGGTTAAAGCAGTCCCTGAGGCTGTAGCAAATTTGAAAAGTGGAATTGAAATGGTCTCTCTGTTGATCTGGAGCCAGTTCAGTTAGTATGCTGGGGTGACAAGATCGTTGTTGAGGTCTCCAGGAATCATGATGAAATGTCAAATCAAGGTATATTAATCAAAATGCAGCAATTGTGATGATGGCTGAAAGAATGTCGATTAGTTTGGGCAGGTGGCTTAATTCATCAGCTCACTTCCACCTTTGCATTTTGTGGGTTTCCTTTTACTCTTGGATTACCTACTTACACATTTGGATTTATGGGACAAAATTACCTAACTTACAGTGATGCACCGAGGTTATCTCATTTGAGGGAAAATGGAGGGGTCAACACCCAACAGATGGAGGAGTCCTCTGTCATTTTGGCATTAGTTAGCTGCCACTAACATTTCGATTTCTCATTCTTCCTTCCCAGATATTCTGCCACCAGTGAGACAGTTCTGCTTTAAATACAAAAAGTACTGCAGTGGCAGAGGAAGCTGAGATTTTCTGATTCAATAGGTGACTACTTGGTGATGCTGCTAATCACAAGCAAAGCCAGAATTAATCCTGCTAGTTTAACATAGTAGCATAGTCTGTGTGCACCTCCTCAGCTTTATTAGCAAGAATTATCTATTTGTTGGTTTGGTCCTATATTTGTGTGTTAAAAGCCTTTATTTTATCTCTGTCCTGCCACCAAAAAACAAGGACAACAGCGTATCTGAAGAACCCATTTCTCTCCTGTATCATTAATGGTCATTGCTTGTGATACAGTTTGGGGGTTTTTTGGTTGGTTGGTTTGGTGGTTTTTTTCATTGTTGTAATAACAGTAAAAATTATAATAAAAATTGTAATAGTAATAATAATAACAATAATAAGAAGAAGCTTGGTGCTTTCTGCTCTGGAGTTTCCAATCTCCTGCCCAAAAGAGGAAATCAAATTACAGCTGAGGACAGGTTGAACACCAGAAGGGTGAAAAGATTGTCCAAGGCTTTTCGCTGGCAGAAGCGAGAAGGGAAGGTGCATTCTGAATCACAGAGTAGTGATATACAGTGATGAACTTCTGTGTAACACTGCTTCTCAAAATGAAAAATTACTTATCTCTGCAGAAAATGGACTTTGGCATTATTTTCTTTCTTGTCCACATCTAATGAATGCTCAAAAGATTAAGTGGTGCCAAGGATGATGTTTATGCCTGAAAGTGCTCTTCCTTGAGTTCTCATGAGCTCCTGTTGATTCAGCAGACAAAGGGTTTCACTCTTTGAGCTTATCTATCACCTTTCATAAACCTTAGAATAACAGAAATGAGAGAAGTAAAAGTAATGCAGGGGAGGGGAAACCCAATGGCATCAGTGTATAAATGCAGTCTGCCTGATAGCAAAATTGCTACTCGAATAATTAAAAATACTTATCCTGATGATAGGGACACCTAGAGATTTAAAACAAAAATCATAATTGTCATGACAGGGACTTTGCAAATTGATAAGAAACATCATCCCATCCTCATGTGACCTGCTGTTTAAAATACAGACAAAAAATGATGAATGGGTACCATCAGAAAAAGCTAAATAAAGGGAGGGAATGCCAGATTCCACTGTAAGCTTTATAAATGAAGGTTCTTGATAATGGAGTAGATGAAATTGTAACAGGCTAATGTAGATACAGCATTCTGTGTGAAGAGAAAATTTGTGAATCAGAATAACAACTGAATGATAAAGGCTGATACCACCGATGCAGCACCGAGGTTGTATGTTTGGGTTTGTGGCTGAGTCAAGGAAGATATTGAAGAGACACAGAATGAGGTAACTCAGGCATAGCCTGAGGTAACTATTCTTCTGTCATCTGTGGAGGTGTCTACGCTGGTGACGTGAATGGTGGGTGGAAAAGCCACCTCTGGGTGTGCTTCATTCACCATTCATAGATGCCATCTAAGTGACTAGTTTAAATCAGTTCCTTAACTTTCAGGTGGATAAAACTCTCTAAGAAGAAAAGGAACTAAGGTCGTGAAGAGTTCATAGCATAATGCTGTTCTGAATGCACTTGAGAGAACAAAGTAAAGGTCAGGAAAGTTGTAGAGGAAAGTGCTGAATTGTCAAGGTAGGTGAGACTAGCTGCATCTCAGTTGTGGAGCTCCTGCCTGGAAGGTGCTACAGCTGCCTCCCAACTCATGGGTGATCTCTTTTATATCCCTGAGGCAATCCTAGAGTTCAAGGCTGAGATCTGTGAGCTGATGGAAGTAGACGCAGGAGGACAATGCTAAGACAGAGTGAGCAGATAAGATCTCCTAGAAGAAAATAGGGGGAAAGGAAGAAAGGAAGAGAGTGATGAAGCTACTCAGGATATACCAGTGATGGAGGAAATGATCTAGTGGAGAAAGTGAGGAAGTAAAAAGTTACTAAAACCAAGGAAGGTATGGAGGAACATTTACTGTCCCTTAAGGAGGTAACAAATAAACCACAGAGCGACATGAGCAGAGTGTATTGGCTTGGGCCAGGATAACGTCTGCAGAGATTTAAGCAAAAGGTGGGTTTGAGTGCGAGTAACACAAGCTGACCTGAATTGTCAGAGAAGCGTCTTAAGTTAAATAGTTCGGTGAAGTTGATTTAAGGTGAAACCGTAGGGATGGTCTAATAAGAAGAACAGCCATACAAGGACCAGATGACTTGATAAGAGAGGGTTTTTCTTTACAATGGGGAAAGAGTCTTATTCTGACACTGAAGATGGAAGAGGGCAACAGTGGAAGATAGTAAGCAAGAGCCATGAAAGAAGAGGTTAAAATGATGGTAAAAAGAAGTTATGAATCAGAAAAGTATGCAGGCACTAAGCACAGATGAAGAAAGGTGGAAGAAGAGAGGCACCGGGAAGCCTGTGTGTTAGGACTGAAAGCAATGTGTGTGAGATGCATGTTTTAACGGAGTGAAGGGATGCGTGTTGAGGGAAATTCAAGTGGAAAGAAGAGGGAGCATTTCAAGGCAGCTGCACATGGGCAGAATGAGTACTGTAGTAATTAGCCAGAGCTGAGGCAGAGCAGTAGTTAGGCGAGCTTTGCAATTACAAGTGGGAGGCCCAGATATGAAAATGAATTTTGAGCTTCCAGAATCAGGGAGATTTGAGTCCATTATGAACTGAGCATTTTTAGTCTCCAGGGGAAAAGAAAGCTGAGCCAGGCCAGCCATTCTGAATTACCCAAGCAAGCATTATCCCCCTAGTTAGTCTCACAACCACGGAGCAGAAGATCTGGAGTTCTTGTCGAGCCCTGCCACTGTCTTTACAATGCTGCTTCATTTTGATGCTTGCATACTTCTTTGGGGAGTAAGAGGCTGAATTGATTAACATTTAATGTACCTTGAGATCTTGAACTGGAAGGAGCTGTAAAAATACAAAATATTAATACTGCAACTGTCCTAGGCTAAGCCCAAGGAGATGAGCGTTTCACAGCACGCAGGACATGAACTTACATTCGGGTGTGCAAATGTCTGTAGGCAGACTGGGTTTTGTTTCTGTAACCAGGTTTTCTGTTTCAGCTTCATGTCTACAGACTGGCCTAATAGTACTTCCTAATAGACTGGGAAGTATGTAGATATTAAGTTGAAAAGTGTCACAGTAATATCTTCGGTCTCTAAGGTAGGTAGATAAACAACAGATTGGAAACTGCATTGCACCAAAACTGGCCAACTGCATCCCAGCTCATAAAGAAATATTATGAAGGTAAAGGAGAAGGAAAAGGCAACAGGAGAGGAAATGTGGTATGAAGTATAATCAAAGAACTAATTGAAGTGAGGTAAATGTGTCGAGTAAATAGTAATAATAAAATCCTAACAAAACGCCTTCTGACGTTTGTTCTAACCTATAGTTTACTTTCTCTCCACCTCCGTTCTGTGTCTCATAGGTTTTGTTAGCTATGACAATCCAGTCTCTGCACAAGCTGCTATCCAGGCTATGAACGGCTTTCAGATTGGCATGAAACGCTTGAAGGTTCAGCTGAAACGCTCCAAAAATGACAGCAAACCTTACTGATCTTAACCCCAGATGCTTACTGCTCTTATTTTAGCTTTCTTAGGGTAAGTCCCATGAGCAAACCTGTCCTCTGCAGGGGATTAAGAAAGAACATAGAGCCAACCTTCACCAAGAGACAGTTATTTTTACAGTTACCACTTCCATTTCCCCACTTGTCCTTATTACACTTGGCTCCCATTTCCTCGCCAAGTACTTACTGAGTTGTGTTACTGTATTTTGTTTTGCAGCATAATTTATCTCCTTTTCAAAAGAAAAATAAACGTCTTGAAATTCAAAGCAACACACACACACACCCGAAAAAAAATGTGCAATTTAACTCTGTGAACCCTGGTGCCATTAGCACACAATAAAAGTTGTTTTCTATGGGTGGATCGTATTTTGCCAGGGTGGCACCAGCAGTTTATAGGTTAAACAAAATGGCCTCATGCCAGTCGAAGCACTTACTTTGCAACAAAAATTGAAACAAGTCTTTCCACTACATCAACTTGTTTTTTGAGAAGATTTGGTTATTTCTTTCTTTGGGTTCAAATCAACGTATTGTTCTATATTAGTCTGATTTTACACTGGTCGTCTTTATATTTCACTTTTTTTTAAGTTGGGTTTTTCTTTGGAAAGGATTAATGTAAAAAAGATTTAGAGATCTGTTTCTAAAGCTACAGGGTTTAAAATAAAAAAAAATAAAATGAGTGACAATACTTGATGTTTCTTGAGAGATAAATTTAATAATAATAAAAAAAAAAAGCCACAGGCCTGTAAATTTTATTTGTAAAAAGCATTTCTATTTTTATACAAAATTTTTACTGCCTCAGAAATAATGGAATTTATTTATTGCCTATTGTTAACTTATTGGATAACTAAAGAGCAGCTCTCTATGCTAGCTAGATCCTTTGAAGTAGTCTCTAGAGTAATTGTGCCAAGAATGGGCGCTTTTTCACTGTTGAACCCTACCCCCGTTACAGTTCATGCTTTTATCCTCTTGTTTGTATTTGTCTGGTTATTTTGTTCGTAGTTTCCATTACCTAGTTTAAAGTTTGGTTGTCTGACCCCCCCCCCCCCCCCCCTCCTCCCCGTACCTTTCTGTTACATTTGTAGAAACTGGTTCTTTCCTCTCTTTTCTCCCCAAAGAGGAATCCATTCTCTCTGACTCCTTTCAGATGGATTCTTTTGGGGTTCCATTGTGCTCTTGTTGACAAGTATTGTAAGTTAATGCAAATTATGTGAACGGCTCATAGACTCTACTGATAAAAAGATTTGCATTAGTTTTCTCCTGCACCCATAAAAGTGATTTTGTTTGTGCTGCATAGATTCTGTGTAACTTTTTTTCCTCTTCCTTGTTTTTTCCCTAGACATCTCCATGCCCGTTAGCCCATCGTTTGCCTAGCATGTCCCTGTGGCGTCTCAAAAAAAACCAGTTTCATCGTCCCGTCATTGTTTCTGATGTCTTTCTGACCTCACATCATATTTGGTTCTCCTACTGACCTTTGATCTAGTTTGACCTTTGAAATTTGCATGTAACCTCATCTAGCTATGAATTCTGGGAAGTCAATGTGAAAAAACATTGCTGCATTCATGCAAGACTGAAATTTATTATTAGATAAATTAATGATAGGATTTAAAAACAACCTGTGGCAAAATGTTTTTTCTTTCTTTCCTTTGTTTTTTTGGTTTTGGTTTCTCTTTTTTTTCCTTCGGATTTTTTCCTTTGGGTTTTTTTGTTTTCTTTTGGGGTTTTTTTTTTTCCGTTTTGGTTGGTTTTTTTTTTTTCTTTTTCTTTTTCATTTAGTAAAAAAAAAAATAAAAAAAAAAACAGACTTGAAAGTGTTATACAGGGATTGGCATTCTGCCTGGTCACTGGTGACAATAGCAATATGTGTCCAGAGGCACAGAATGTTGGTTTCTAACAGACTACTTCCAAAACAGTTTGAGAAATAAAACTGTCTGATTTTAAGTCTCTAGAGGTCTGTAATAGTTTTTACATTTTTCAGGCAGTGTAAAGTTTTTTGATAAGGCCATTTTAGGTGGCTCACTTTCTCATTAAAGTATATATATAGAACCACTTTTTGTAGATTAGTATAAGAAAATATTTACCCTGTTTTAGGGCAAATGCTACCTACTTGTGTCACCTTTTGCTGAACTGACTCACAGTTAGACAATCCATGGTTTAATGCACATGAAATTACCTATATTTTATACTGTTTCAATGTACAGAAGAAAGGTTACTGTAAAATGTGTTACGTTGGTGCTTCTGTGAATTAAGTTGTGGTTTCATCATGAGTCTTATGGTCTTAAGTGTTCTATGTTTATAAAAGACGAGTTTAAAATTGGTTTACTTGAACAACAAGAACAAAAAACAAGATTCAAAAAAACAACAAAAAAACAAAAAAAAAAGATGTTTGCTTAAAAAAAAAAAAAAAAAAAAAAAACCAACCAAAAAAAGGTTTGTTAAAAAAAAAAAAAAAAAAAAAGGATTTCATGTGAAAAATGAAAAAATATTCCAGAATAAGTTTGTGTTGGCTTGTGACGCATTGATGTCATTTTTTTATCGTGAACAATTTAGATGTGTTTGTGTTCAGCAAAATGTGATCGGTTTTTCTTTTAAAGAAAAAAAAAAAATCAGTGAAACTATAGTGCCAAATTCCAAAGGTACTTTCTTCCTAGAGCTTCAGTGTGTTTCTTGTGTGAAGTAATTTGATAACATGGGTATTTTATTATGTGTTTTGTATAAATCCCTAATATTTAAAGAAACAAAAGAGGTTAAAAAGTTTGTTAACTTGCTATCCTGTGGTCTTGTTGCCTGAAATTGTTATTGTTTGTTATTTCTCTTTGATGTTTTTTGTAAAACATTGTATAAGTGCCCATGTTTCACTTTTTTAACCACTCTGCACACATCAATGCTGTGAAAGCAAACCTCACTATGTATTTTCTTCATATTGTATGGAAACCTCTAAGGTGAGAAAGTTTTGAACTTTTAACCCTTTCCACCCAGAGCTGTCTTGAGTGTTAATACCTTTTATACATTCACCATTTTGCTGTTTATTTTTATATATATA